ATCGAGATTTCACAGCTGACCTCCCCTGAAAAGCCCAATCAACCTCTAATTGAAAGGGAAAACGAAAAAGCACTTCCCGCGGAGAGACTAACGATTTAATCGTTCCATCGTTCGTCTTTCTGTGTTTTTAAAAATTTAATTAGAGCTTAGCTTGATAAAGCTCCAAGGCCCTGAGAGAGACAGGGAGACAGGGAGACAGAGAGAGGGATCACACGGACGGATCCACGCGTCTGGGTAATGGGGTTAACGGGGTATCACAGTGGTCAATAAACGGTGGCTGTTCCTGGACCACGTGGATCAGAAGAGGCCGAGAGGAGCGACGATATCATGACAACAACCCGGGGGGACGTGGGAGACGACGGAGGAAGATGACACCAGCACACAGAAGTAACGAGCAACATCTTTGTAGTTTGAATAAAAATAAAATGACTGGCGTACTGTGAAAATGACGAATACAAAAAGACATTCAGACATTCCAGGATCCACACTGTAATCATTCAGTGGTATTTTGGGACCATTTTAGGGTCAGTGTAACCAAGTGCAAATTTAAAAATATCATCAAATATTCTCCAGTGCTGCGACCAACGATAATGATTATGACCGATTAATCAGACATTTTCTGTAATTGATTATTTTATCACCTGAACCGCAAACAGAAAATACCTGTAAAAAATCGTCAATTTCTGTAAAATCCTATTTCAGCCAATTAATCAAAAATATTCATTTTACAGTGAAAGCTAATAAAACAAAAGCCAACATCTGCAAATCAAATGCCTGAAAAATAACTCAGAGTAATTATATCATTAGCTTTTTTTAAAATTCATTTGTAATTATTTTAATAGTCATTAGTTAATCGATAAACATCGACGTTTTATTAATAGAAAAAAAGAAGTAAAGACTGGTATTGATGTTGTAATTCGCTAAAACTAATAAAAAAAGAACACTGTGAGTCTTAAATATTTCTACAGGAAATGCAAACACACTTAAAACCTTTGACCAAAATAAATCCTAAAATGTTAACGTCAGTCAATCTGATGGTGAGAATTCCTGACAAAGAAGAATTCATTATTACCACGATGCCGTAATAATAAATACATTCTCAGGGTTAATGAGTCTGTTCGGGAGGTCCAGCCTTTACAGTCATCACGGTGACCACTACTGACCCCCCCCCCCCCCCCCCCCCCCCCCCCCC